CCTGGCTATCTTTTTTGGTTGCAGCCCTCATTGTTGTTTGGCCGGCCCGGGCTAGATTCGAACCCGCCACCTTAGGTGTATGTGGCTGGCACCTTAGCCACTTGATCCACAGGTGCTGAGCCCAAAAAAATGTTCTTGATAGAGCAGTAAAATTTATACATTTTATTAAATCACTAACTGAATATGCATCTTATTAATATTCTGTATGACCAGATGTGAACTATCCGTAAAGTTTTTCCACAATACACAGAAGTGTCTTGTGGAAAGTGCAGGTGTTTGAGATGCAAACTGAATATGGTTCATAGTTTTTGCATGAAAGAGTGATTTTACACACAGACTATCTTTAAAATTAATGAAATGAGTCTGGTGCTGCAAGAAAAACAACTTAAACTATATTTATTGTAAATGATAAAATTTTTATTTAACCAGTGTTTTTACTAAATATAAGAATTTTGGCTCAGCACCTGTGGCTCAAGTGGCTAAGGCACCAGCCATGTACACCTGAGCTGGCAGCTACTTGGGAGGCGGAGGCAAGAGACTCACTTGAGCCCAGGAGTTGGAGGTTGCTGTGAGCTATGATGCCATGGTACTCTAACCAGGGGGACAGCTTGAGGCTCTGTCTCAAAAAAGTAATAATAATAAAATAAATATAAGAATTTTGGAAAACTGCCATCATGCACTTGTTAGCTTTTCAAAACTTAGAGAATTTTTGATAAGATCAGTGTAATTTTTTTTTTGTTTTTAGAGACAGAGTCTCACATTACCCTTGCAAGAGTGCTGTGGCGTCACAGCTTATAGCAACCTCAAACTCTTGGACTTAAGCAGATTCTCTTGCCTCAGCCTCCTGAGTAGCTGGGGCTACAGGCACCCAGCACAACACCTGGCTATTTTTTGTTGCAGTTTAGCCAGGGCTGGGTTCAAACCCGCCACCCTCGGTATGGTATATGGGGCCAGCGCCCTACTCACTGAGCCACAGGTGCTGCCCTCAAAGTCACTTCCTTTTTTTTTTTTTT